CTACCAGAGCTCAAGTTAAATGGCCTGGAAAAAAATTCTACAAAAATATTCTCACTTCTATGCAAAGATATTACTCACTAAATTAAAAATAACAATAAAACCCAGTGGGTGAACAGTTTTAGAAAATTTGATGCTATGGATTTAATATATAGCCCCATTAAAAGAATACGGCTTAACTATCTGGTAGCATAGTGGTTACGAATTGGGCTACTAATCTCAAGGTCAACAGCTCGAAACTACCAGCTGTTAACGTGGGAGAAAGATGAGGCGTTCTGCTCCCGTAAAGATTTACAGCCTCGGAAACCCTGTACAGGGTCGCTATGGGTCGGAATCGACTCGACAGCACATAACAACAACATGTATGTATAAGCCTTATTCTTTACACGTACATAGATACATCTTATTTTTTTACAAAAAGCCCACACAGGGTCGCTACGAGTTGGAACCAACTCAATGGGACTTAACAACTATAGCATGTATGTCTGTATATTAACTGGGGAAAATCTCAGATATTAAAACTGGAAAAAATACCAAATTATAGAATATTACAAATACCATGATGCTCTTTAAACGCAATTAAACACATGTATGTAAATGAATAGTTGTTGTTAAGTGTTACTGAGTCTGTTCCAACTCGTAACAACCCTGTATAGGGTTTCCAAGGCTGTAAACTTTTACAGAAACAGAAAGTGTCATCTTTTCCCCAAGGAGCAACTGGTGTGTTTGAACGCCAACCCTGTAGTTTGTAGTCCAGTAGGAGCCACTGCACTCCAATGTAAAAGAATGAAGAAGGGAAAAAAATCTTAATTTTTAACAGCAGATACCTATGAAAAGAGAGACAAGAAAAAAGAAAAGAGGGAATCAAGTGAAAGAAGATAATTCCTTTTTCTCTCACAATCTTTTTCTAATTTTTTAGTAATCAGAATATAATACTTAAATAGTTGAAAGAATAAAAACACAGAAATAAAAATGGCATTCACTAAGTATCTATACAGTTTTCCCATTTAGCAATCAATGAAATTTAATATAAATCACACGCAAGCAAATATATGTTAAGGGATCATCAGGTCTATCCTTATCAAGGGATTCCCAAATCATCCTTAAACCCATATAGTTACATCTTATGCTAATTCAGATAACAGCAAAACTGCACGGAATGTACTCTGTAATACAAAGACAACTGCTGTCCACCAGGAAGGACAGTTCCAGTGGGTACCCAGCACTGAGGCTGACCTGCATCGATGGCTTGCATCAGGCACTCATATGTGGTCTGCACTAACTTCCGTGCTCCCTCATCCACGTCTCCAACAAAAAACGTCTCATTTAGGTCCCCGTGGTAACCATTGCGATAGAGAGTAATGTCCACTGAAAAAGAATGTGCAAAAATAACAATCACAATTGTTTCTATTTCAAAATAGAACTTCAGTACTCCCAAGATGCTAGCAACAAGCTACATAACAAAAAATGTATAAACTGATTTCTCAAATTAGACACCAATAGATGTGCAGTTAGTGAGCAACAGAAAATCTTTGTCTTTAATACAACCTAACACTCTCTGTAAAACAGTAATATGGACACACAACACAAACCACATGGCAGGTTTTTATACTCTACAGTATTAATTGGGAAGACAGAGGGTCCATACAATAAGCAGTGAACTGTGAATCACAAAGGCCACGGTTCTAGCCTGCCAGCCACTCGGCAGGAGAAAGATGAGGCTTTCTGCTCCCTTAAATATTTAAAGCCTCAAAAACCCTAGACAGGGTCACTGAGTTGGCAGCAACTCGAAGGCACCTAACAAAAAATACAAGAGTAATTATAAGAATGTGGCAGGAAAAAAATGTAGACAGGATATAATAATGCAAGATCAATAACCAGTTAATGACATTGAACTGATGACTTTACTACATTTTAACATTAAATACAAAACACTGTCTTTATTAATTTGTCGTTAACATGTTTCTTTTTCCTCCTAAGGAATAAGTAAACGGCCATATACTGGTATATGCTCTTCAAAACAAAACACAAAACTCATCTGGGTTTTACTTATTTGTAAAAATTCATCCTTATCTTTCTTCATGTTTAAGAATACAGATTATTAGCACACTACTACCATACACAATATATATCGAGAGATCACAATGAATGAGTATTGTAGAACCACACATTTCAATCAACTACCAAGGAGGCTATAAAAAGTTTGAGGAAAATTTCCATTATCTTTCTTTCATTTTTGGTGGGAGTAAGGAATGCAGAGAATACAATCAAGATGGTGAATTGGGTAGACGTGCGGTAAGGAGCTCCGTCACCAACAACACAGAATACCAGGCCAAGCAGACTCAGGGTATGGTGCTAGAACTCTGAACCACATATAAAGGAATATTTAGAAGATTGGAAGGCTTACAACTAGTGGAATTTGTAGGAGAATCAAAAAATCGATTGCTTTCTAATTCAAGACGTTCAGCTATTCCCAGAGCCGCCATCTTGGGAGAGAACAAGTGGGGAAGGATCAGAACAGCCACGAACGCCTCAAAAAACCCGAGGAGATACAGATGGGGACATTCGTTTTTTTGGTATCTGTCCATTGTTCATTGGTCTCTCGCTGACTGTGCACCTCCATTCTGGTAACTAGAGGAGATACCTGAGCGAATGGATACCCCACCCCTACCCCGGAGGGTTCTACTACACATGCACACAGATCTGCTCGAAATTTAAAGTGACAGTTTCGACATAAAACCAAACGGCCACCACTCGTCTGTCTGTCATACTATTGTGGTTTTGAGTTGCTGTGATTCTGAGGGCTATGCCACCGGTATTTTAAATAACCAGCAGGGTCACTCATGGTGGACAGGTTTCAGATGAGCTTCCAGACAAAGACAGACTAGGAAGA